TTGGTCCAAAATGTTGCTGCTAGGATTTTTAGATTATTATAAAATAAGGTCACTAAAGTTCTGTAATAGATTTTTAGCTTTGTGCTCCAATAACAGTTGAGCTAGCCTCGGTCAACTTCTCCCTTTCCTGTTCTTATATAGATATGCTACGTGCTAGGCAACCAAATGTACATACAGTATATATAAGTCACATAAGTTAGCTAATATTAGCAAAATGATTTATATAAATTAGCTAACTAGACTTAACTTTCAAATGTAACAAGCCAACTAATGATTGATGTAGATTAATTCTACCATTCGCTAGCTAACTTAAGATGTGAAGATGTTTAACTATCTTGAAAATGTGGTTTTATAATCCAATCCAATCCAACTTTATTTGTTAAGCACTTTAAAACAACCAAAGTTGACCAAAGTGCTGTACAGGAGAATAAATAAGACATCATAAATAAAAGACATAACAGCTCACATGAGGCGCAAAATAACATATAATACAACAATAAAATGAAAAGACATAAATAAAAATAATAACCATGCAATAACAAGCAATCAAAAAGTAAAAATAACAAATACAAAAAATAAATCAAGTAAATAAAGTCGACATCTTACTAGGTGTCAAAGGCCACAGAGAAGAGATGGGTTTTAAGACCGGTTTTAAAAACAGACAGAGAAGAGGCCTGTTTAATGTGCAGAGGCAGATCATTCCATAATTTAGGAGCAGACACAGCAAAGGCACGGTCCCCTCTGAGCTTCCGCTTAGTTTTAGGCACACTCAGGAGCAGCTGATCATCTGACCTGAGGGGGCGGACGGGTATATAGGGGTGTAGAAGCTCAGATAGGTAGGGCGGGGCAAGACCATTTAGGGATTTAAAAGCAAATAAAAGAATTTTAAAATGGATCCTAAATTGAATTGGCAGCCAGTGGAGTGAGTGACGGCTAACTAATGTTTACAAATGTTCCCGAGGATGGAGGTTTGGTTTCAGAACACTATGTAAACCCAATTTAACTTTTTAATTGGATATAATGTTGTTTTTGCATCTAACCCTCAAAGACCAGTGCGCTTTATTGTCTTGAATTTGACTGATGGGTTAAAACCCTGAGTATTGTCTGCAGGTATTCCTTTCAGACTGCAGCACCACTAAGGTAGTCCGTATGTGGCCTGACAGGCAAAACAGGGAGGTTGGGGGCAGCAGCTTTTCCCTTGAACTTCAAGCAAGTTTAGATAACAAGATGAAACCAGCCCGGTGCTGTTTATGTTGTTGTGCATTAACAGATGTAAGCTCACGTGTCAGTGTTGCAGTTGAGTAAAAGGTGGGCCTCAGTTAAAATGTCCTCAGAAACAATAACAGAGTCAAAGACAGCAGGGCCCTGTGTGCAGTTCCCTTTCAGCTCAGGAAACTCAGCCCTCATTCCCTCTCGCCTACACACACACACACACACACACAAACAAACTGAGCTCTTTCTTTTAAAAGTCCCTCCGACACACACAATCAGAAAACAAATCTGATACTTTGAGCAGATAACTGATGAAAGGCATTCGGTTTATCTGTGAAACTCAGTCGGTTTCATCAGGGCGACTCCGTGTGAGTCATGCTTGAATAGTGTACTCCAGGGCTGCAACTAAAAAATGTATCATCAATAAATGTCACCATTGTTTTATGAAATGTAAAACAAAAGTGTGAATAATGTTTCCCAAATTCAGACAACGTTTTATCATAAAAGCAGCAAAGTCACCAAAGAAAAGCAGAAAATCATCACATTTAAGAAGCTGGAACCAGCAAATATTTGCTTCAAAAATGACTAAAATGAATAACCAATCATCAATTATAGACTGATCAACCAATTGTTGCATCTCTCCAGAGTGCTAAAAAAACATTTACAACGTAAAAGTTCTGTTTTTGATTGGCTGGCAATTGATTGTCAGGAGTCCTCAGACAAAGATGCAGTCAACAGTTTCTTTACAGTGCGCGAGATGTATTAAAATACAGGTAACCATAGCAACAATGCTCAATGCTAACCCGAAAACAGGATTTTAAACAAAACTACAGTTAGGGAAGTTGGAGGCAGCCTCATGAAGTTGTACATTTAATAATATAATAATAAATATTTAAATACTTTGCTGTGACTGGACAGTCATTTTATGACGTAGCTGCAATATGACACACAAAGAAGTGGTTGTATTTCCTGTTTCCTGTTTGCTGATTAGCATTAAACACAAAGTAGAACTGAGGCTAATAGGAATGTCTTGACGGGGAAACATGGATGTCTTTACCGAATTCACAGTTTGACTACATTATACAGTCCACCGATCCGATCGGTTGACAGACGGTTCATCCAATCATCGTGGTTGCTAGCGCGGCACAAAATATGCTGTGGGTGATATCTGCACAGAGGGTACAGACCGGCACGTTGGAGGAGCTGGCAGCAGATTACAGACAGTTGTCACAGCAGATTGTTTGTGTAATGAGTGACAGGAGTGAGTGGTGTCTCTCAGTGTCTCTCAAACTGAGCTGAAAGACGTCTGTTTGATTTGACGTTCCAACGAGGCAGACCGCATTCCTGCTGCATGCAGGACAAGAACGAGACGAGCGTTTGGCGTTTGGCTCATCTGAACATCGATGACAGATAACCTCCTCTCTCTCTCTCTCTCTCTCTCTCTCTCTCGATTGTTTGTTGGGTGGTGGGGACGTTGTTTGCTTCCTGTGCTGCAAAGTTTTGCTAAACAACACAGTTTCCTACCAGGATGGATAAACGATTTGTGCCTACAGAACAAAAACAAAAAAAAACATGCACACGCCATTTCCTACACAAACAGCGGTGTTTATAAGAATGTGTGTGCACCTCCAGATGGCCAGAAGTATGTGGATGCTCAACATTACATCTATAGCAAAGAGTTATGAGCTAGCTACAGCTAGCGTGTAGCACGAAACGTACCGATGCATGGCCGAAATCACACCAAATACTTGTTTTTAACATTAAACATCCAGTTGCAAGTAATAAATCGAAAGCATCAGCATGTGTCGAATGAGTTTCGGTCTGTCGGTCTCACATTAAAACCAGGATCAGTGCTGAACATTTCAGCAAAAAGCTAAATAGTTAGGCAGTGTAATGGGGATTATGAGGATTTTTACATGCTGACAGGTACGCTGCAGGAATTTCAAACTGTCTTTCAGCAGTTAAGATCATTCATCGTTGGGCTGTAGATCCTTCTGCCCAAATTCCTCACGGCTGACTTCTCTGTGATTAAAACAGGTGGCATAAAAACAGGTTTTTCTATTATTATAACTACTATCATAGACATGAATAGTTTGTGAATCATTTTCACGGCTGCAGCGATGATGACAGGTGATATGCAGGAGAGGTGGGTAAACTATTAAGTTATTAGTTTATTTTATAAACAAATTCATTTTATAATTAAAGGTTTAATTTCTTTAATCTTAAAGACTAAGGCGGGCTGAAGGATCGACTTTTCGATGTGTGTCCAAAATAAAGAGTGCACAAACATTTTCGTGGTCCAATACACAAATAAATCAAGATGACATTTCAAATTCAGCTCCTTCTTTTGTTTTTGAGTCAACTGGAAACAGGTTTGTTGTTTTCACAGTTTGACCTGCTGCCAAAAAAGTTAATGCAGCTTTAAAGGTGCTGAGACACCTTTCGAGCGAGCCACATTACATAAGATTTACAGACTACGTTCATGCTCCCCAGAGGATTAACCCGTCTGATTATAACAACTTAGTGATAGAGGTGTAAAGATTTACTGATCTGAGATGGATCGATCTAAATGTGCCACGAACTAACCGGTCAGTACATAAACAAGGTCTTTTTTGTCTTGGTCTACTACTAATAAACACAATGACATTTAATTCTGAAATTAAACATTTGTCTTCCAGTTTTCCCCCCCGTATATAAAAAAAATACTTGGGATTCCCTGATATTTTATCAAATATATGCATTTGAAGGCAAGCAATGTCAATTTTAAATGGAAAAAAAATATATCGTATAGGAGTAGTATTAGATATCAAAATACATTGTCCTTGAATGGTATCATAGCTTGTGTGTTTAGATACGCATCGAATCGTCTTAGTGACCTTTCCTGGGGCACCATGCTCCAACTTTCCATTTCTAGCTTCACTACTGGTCCAATAAGAGGCTGTAAGGATGCATAAATCATCACTTTGTTCCGCAGGGTGTAATGAACACTGTTGCCTCTAGGGGGACAGCATTAGGAATATATCTATATATATCTATATCTATAGATATAGATATACATATATATAAATAAAAGACAGTAAGAAGAGAAGTCGGCTGTCTGTCTGATGAAGCTCGCTGCTTCACCACCAAAATCAAATGATTCATCTTTACAATGTAAACGAGGGTATTGAAGGATGTTTTCTGGGAGCTGCTCACACACACACACACACACACACACACACACTGACAATGATCTCTACACGACACCTTTTTCATCTTTTCCACAGAGGCTACATTCCCGCTGTTATAGCGAGTGTGTGAGTGAACTCAGTGAAAAGGCCTTTTTCTGGAATTTGCTTCCGAAGCGACACACTCCACCGACCCTGTTTGCTGACTGTGTGTTTGTGTGTGTGTGACTGTGCGTCCAGACGTGACCTGTCTATTAAAGGACATTTCCACCGACTTTCACGCACACGCTGTGTGATCAGCAGTAGGCCCGTTGCCGCGGTAACCAGATGCTGGTCAGAGGTCGCTAAGAGTTTCCTTTACACAGTAAAAAGAAAATGGAGATTGTTTTTTTCACTCATTCCTAATACATATTTATTTTGTTTTAAGTCTTTAAAACTTTATATTAATACATTTCAGCTTCAAAACATAACATAAAGTCATTGTTCTCTCTCTATTTTGTACAGTGTTAGTGTTCAGCAGGGGACCAATCACAGTTTATAGCCATGCTAACTCTGTGAGGCTGCCATTCATTCCAGATAAACAGTAAAATGTGTTTGTGAACACGTTTGAGGAGAGAACTAGTCAACAACAGAATCTGGATCCATATCTGATCAGCACTGTTTGACAGTTTGATCTGAGTTTGGTGCGTTGAGCTGGACGGACTCACTGAGAATGAGCTGTCAATCACAAGGTAGCCCCACCCTAAAGCATACCCTGCTTTATGGTCTGTTTTACTCTCAATGGGACCATCAGTTACTAAATGAACATCATGCTGTATGGAAGAAGACTGAAACTAGAGACTGAGACCAGAAACTCATCAGGAAACTGTTTACTGAGCTCATAAATCAACTGAGAAGTCGGCTCATTTCTCCATAAGACTGAATGGTATCGGTGTGTTTGCTGCCCCCTGCTGGACATTACATAGAATGCAGGTTTAAGACACTTCACAGACCCTTAAGGGCTGTTCATTATATATACTTAAGTTGTTTTTGTACCCAAACCTAACCATCTGCGTTTCACAACCTTAATCACAGTACGTGACAATACATATCCATCGCTAACTCGACTACAGAGCCCCGCGTGTCCCTAAAAAACGCTAAAGCTGCACCTACAGCGTCATATTCTGAAGCAGAGGGTGACATAAATGTCTGTGGCAGATACTTTTAAAACCAGAACCATAAAAGACAACCACCTGGTGGCTCAGAACTTCCCCAAAATAATGATCATAAATCATCTCCTCATTATGGCTAACTGGACCAGCCTGTGCCAATCAACCCAGCAGGTATTTCACAGGAAACTTTAACCTGTTGGTGGCGCTACAGTACTGGTCGTCTGTACCAAATTTCATGCTAATACATTTTATAGCCGTTGAGATATTTCAGCCTGAACAGACATTTGCAGCCTAAATAGAATATAACAATAATTTCTCATTAAACAAAGAGATATCACAAATATCTTTCTCATTATAAAGTTGAAAGCAGCACATCTGTCACTATGAACCAACAAGCTCCTAAACAATGACATTTATACACCACTAATCTTTGTAAATACACCTGAAGAAGCAGTTTATTGCTCCTCTTTAAAGACGAATGTTTGAACGCCAGTCAATTAAAATCTTTGAGTGTTTCCTGTCAGTTATTGCTGCTCTTCATAAGTCATAAAGCCTTAGATTTGTTCTTACAATGCTGTCTAATATTTGAGTGTTGACTCAGCGTACCGTCCATTTACAGCTGAGATTAATACACACACACACACACACACACACACACACACACACAAAACACAGTCTGTCATCTGAATACAAAAGTGTGTGTGTGGAGTGTGTTTGACTCTGAATAGCTTTTGTTGATCTCTTTAGTCTCCATTTAGTCCTGCTTCCTGCCAGAAGGGAGGGGTCTGGTTGTGTGTGTGTGTGTGTGTGTGTGTGTGTGTGTGTGTGTGTGTGTGTGTGTGTGTGTGTGTGTGTGTGTGTGTGTGTGTGTGTGTGTGCGTTCACCTCGTTTCCATGCATGTTAGCCACATATTTGAACTCGGGGATGCCGACGGTGTGACGTCGAGGGCGGACACCCAGGGCCAACACCCACAACTGCTGACCTGAGAGAGACAAGAGGGTGAAAAAGAGGTTTTTATTTACATTTTAAGTTACATTTTGTGTTTCTTAAAGAGGGAAAATATTTATCGGAGATGTTTTATAGTGAATACGAGACACCGAATTAACTGGAGTTGGATGTCTAGCTCTAAACTGACACTTTCAGCTGGTTTTGGGACCAGTTGAGTCCACTTCTCCTCCGTTGAATGCTAAATAATCAGGAGGGAACAGACCTTAAAGCTGCAACAATCAGTATTTCTATATAATAAAAATACTAATAATCTTTATATAAATAACATAATATATACGCATGCATTTCATTTTAGTGAATAGGTAAACAAATATTATGTATATTTTATATTTTTTACTGTGCAGTGGACTGAATATTTCTTTATCTACATGGTTAGAAGAGTCTTTGTGGATTCTGTGCCTCACCTCAAACTTAAAATCAATATAAGAGCCGGTTTGAGCGACGCACTGAAGTGTAACTTCTTCTAAGCAGGAGGTGGAAATGCAGAAAACACAGAATAATTAATAACCAGTTTTGAAACGGGGTCAAGGTGACACTTATGTATGTGTTATTTTACAGTGAGTCGCGTAGCAGCAGCGGCCGTGTTTTCACAACCCTAAACCACTTGAGAAAAGTGTGTACTTGACTTAATTATGTCGAAACTCAACCGCGTGCATTCGTTTAAAAAGGCAACACTAATCCTAAATGCAGCACTTTGGTCTGGTGAACAATGCAACCCGGTTGCCACGAATGACGTCACCAAACAGCTGAGAGTGTATGAGGAACCGGATGAAAGAGCTTGTATGGTAATCAGGTAAAACTGTTTAAAGTTTAAAAGCTCCCGCCAATCAGATATCAGTGTTTTTCTTCTTGTTCCTGCAGTCGGATGTTTGATCTGTGCAGAACGATGCATGAAAACTTGTATATTTGCAGATTCTGGTATTTTTTAACGAGGTAGAAGGATTTAAGGATTTTAATGTGGAAATTATTCTTATTTTGCAGGAAAAGACTCACATTATTGTTCCGAGATGATTATTTATATGTATGTCTTTAAAGACGGCCTCTGATGAAGCAGGAGTTTATGTTTTCACTGAGCTCTGATGCGGATTTTTAGTGAGTAAAAATTTCCACGTAAACATGACTACTGTAACTGTTTTGAATGTCAGTACAGCAGATTGATGAATGAAGCTCCACAAGCCTCAGCAAGTCTCACACACACTTACACACACTTGGTAAAGTGTGAACGAGTCATTGAAGCAACATGAGGGAAAAATTGGCGAGGCTGGCGAGACGGACATCACACACACAAACACAGGTTGGACGCTGGCCAGCTGGCGTCCTAGATTAGCGCAGATTAGCTCCGGGTGTGTGTGTGTGTGTGTGTGTGTGTGTGTGTGTGTGTGTGTGTGTGTGAGTGATTAGCCAGATTAAGCCGTCCAAGATTAAATTAACCGGCGTTTACAGTCCCATTATATGATCACACAAACACCAACAGGCAACCTTGGCGAAGTCACCGTCACGGCTGACACCTGAAACTTTATCAGTCAACCATCAACCCCTGTGTGTGTGTGTATGTGTGTATGTGTGTATGTGTGTGTGTGTGTGTGTGTGTGTGTGTGTGTGTGTGTGTGTGTATGTTTCTCTCTCTTAATGTAGAATTTATACCTACCTACCTATTATAATAATAATCATAATAATAATACAGTAACCCCATTCAGTCTTATGGAGAAATTAGTCGACTTCTCAGTTGATTTATGAGCTCAGTAAACAGTTTCCTGATGAGTTTCTGGTCTCAGTCTCTAGTTTCAGTCTTCTTCCATACAGCATGATGTTCATTTAGTAACTGATGGTCCCATTGAGAGTAAAACAGACCATAAAGCAGGGTATGCTTTAGGGCGGGGCTACCTTGTGATTGACAGCTCATTCTCAGTGAGTCCGTCCAGCTCAACGCACCAAACTCAGATCAAACTGTCAAACTAGACAGTGCTGATCAGATATGGATCCAGATTCTGTTGTTGACTGTTTCTTTCCTCAAATCTGTTCACAAACACATTTTACTGTTTATCTGGAATACCAGATCGTTTGTGAGCAGGCGAGCCGCCAAAGAACATACAGGAAGTTAGATCATCTCTAGGCCGCCTGTAGTTTGTCAACCACACAAGGATTTGTTTGTTGACAGATAAAACCTTCATTACACAACATGAGATGGGAAAAAAGGCCTGAAATCTCGATTAAAACGTTAAAATCACACAGAGATGTTTGTGGTCAGCCAATCAGCTCTCTGATCAGGCGTTTCTCGGAGAGCAACCATGTCATCCATCTTTACATATTTTGATTATGAGGTATTTCCTTTTAAAATCAGGACGGGAGACGGTCAGACAGACAGACAGGCACGCCGTTGTACCTTGGACAGACTGGCCGATGCTGTACAGGTGTGTGATGTCGGGGTTGGAGGCGTTGACCTGGAGGAGGTACTGCTCGATCTCACGGTTGTCGTGGTAACGGAACTCCAACGTCGAGGCGGTGGCGAGGAGGAGGAAGGGGATGAGGAGGAGGAGGAGGGAGGACATCACTGCAGTGCGACCTGTGAGGAGGAAGAAACTGGTTTGAGTCTAAATGTGTTTGAGGAGCGTCTTCGCGGCGGCCATATTGGTGAGGTTGAGATCGGCTAGTTAGCAACACTGACAGATTCAAATGGACTGTAACTCGCTTAACTCTGAACGCATTTTCATGAAATTTGGTTCGCTATAAACGTGAGGAATTGAATCTGACAGTGGCACAACTAATCAGCTTCATGCCAAAAAAACTGTCAGGAGTCTCCTCTGGGAGAAACGCTGCAGGCACTTTGGCCAAGTAGTATGTTTCTGGATCTGTTGGACAACAATAAAAACAACAGGTGTGAATGTTCTGCGGGTTAACGTGGGAAGAAATCAAGTGTTTATATTCATAAAAAAGGATAAAAACTGTTTATTAAAATGTAACTGAAGCCATTAAATGTCATCAGAACACACAGTATCAGTCTGTTTCTTTGAGGCTTAGAGGAACAAGCAGGAACACTGATTTTTGAGTAGAGGGAGGCTTTAAGGAATTTGTTTTTAGCAATAATGTAGAAACATATCCTGGTTCAGCTTCACAGATTATTTGTTTTATGTGACATTAACTTGAATATCTTTGGGTTTTGGAAAACTAGACATTTGAAAGCATCATTTAAGATGTCCAGACAGGCATTTATTTTTGATTTTTGATTTACCCTTTGAGACAAAAACATCTCAAGAAACCTCGCCCAAAAGGTAACAGTCGTACAAGATCACAGCATAAAACACAGAAGAACTATTTGCGACTATTATCTGACATTTTATGAACCAAATAACTGAAATAATTGGAGAAGAATCATTAGTTACAGTCCTGAAAAGAACAATAAGAAAAGCTGGATAAAGCTGCAGATGAGATCAGATCAGAGCATTAACAGCTGTACTGAAAGCAATCATCCAAAAAGTCAAGAAGTCGGAGGATGGAGGTTGACCTTTAAATTAACCCTGTTAGACAGAAACATAAATTTAGATATAACTGTTCCAGCTATCATAAAAGGTTT